ACGGAACTGTGTGCCAGAGTTTCTCTGCAGTTGTAGGGGATGTGAATGGAAACGTACTCAACATACAAACAAACATTTGATGGCATCACCCAGATGTGCCGATCACTAGGACGAGATAAAAAACAAACAAACTGGAGACCAGCCCCTTATCCCTGCTGCTTTCTAGCAGCCTTAGGATGCAAAAGCAGAACAGGATACGTTGTAGAAGTTGCAGGTATATTAAAAGAAACATGTTGAATATGATGACATACATTACAGCATCACCGAGATGTGCCGATCACCGGCACCCTATGAGGGATGTTTTTTCTAGTGGTGCACTAGCGGAGGTGAAATGGTGTGGATGAATGAAAAATTCCACTGAATAAAGCCTAATTCCAAATTAGCATGTAGCTCTAAAATGTTTTTTTTTCTCTTTATAAAATTTATATTGTCCTGTAGGCCTGTATGTGTTGCAAACATGATGTTTAAATCATATATATGTAGGGTGTCGACACAGTTTGATACTATAGGATATGATATGAGAGTAGCGTAGCTCCTTTAATGCTGTGCTCACACTACGAGCGACACAGCATCAGTGTGACCAGCTATATTATTGCAGAGTTGCAAGTGCTGCTCAAATGCTTGTTTATGTTGTTACATTGTCACAAGCTTGGGTGTGTCTGCTACCAGCCGCAAAGCACCTCGACTGAACGGCATCTAAAGTTTGTATTTTATCATAAGATATCTATGCTTATGATCAATGCTTGAGACCCATTTTAACATTACAGTTTACCACCCCATTGCATCCTGTGTGCACTGCAATGCACAGAAAGCTAGCATCGTGTCAGCTAACTAAGCTAACTAGCACAGTGACACAGCTAGATAAAAAAATATATGATTGGCTGACGCTTCACGGTTTGTTTGTAGCCTTATATTGAATTCAAAATGACTTCTAGCCTGTTGCTATGTCGCTCACAGTGTGAATACAGCATCAGGCCTAGTTCAGTACATCGTGTAAGTTTAGTGAGTGTGTCATCACATTTCACTGTTTGGACTTCAACTTTCTACACTTGGATTTTCTACATATGACGCGGTAGATATCCTGGGTGCGTCTGTTGGTGATGTTCCAGGATGGCGTGTCAGTTTGTCTTATTTTATCTTATTTTTAAACTAAAAGTCACAGTGTGAACATACATGCTACAGTAATACCTTGTTCTAACTTGTGACAATACACACACACACACACACACACACACACACACACAGGGCTTGGTTGACTTGGCCCAGGTTGATATTATCTGTTAGATACGTTTTTCCTGCATAGAGGTCATTCATTGTTTGACTTCCAAATGATGTCTGTGTATGTGCATGTGTGTGTTCCACTTTGTGAGCGTGTGTGCTGTTGTGTGTGTGTGACTAATGGCTTTAGTAATGCTAAGCCACATGGGGCTCGACTGCAGGTTATAAATAGAAAAACTCCACTGCAGCTCTTTATGAGCAACCTAATCAATTTGGTTCCACCAGGCACGTGAGCCCTATTCTCAATCAACCCATGTTCATCATCGAGTTAGTGTATGCATTTGCATAATATGATACAGTGTTTGGAATAATCATTATGTGAATTGTTCGATGGTTTACGCTACTCCTTCTTTTACAACAGTGAGTAGTGTAATGAATTTGTATAACATATGGTCACATTACATATACACTGACCAAAGTATGTGGACTCTCAGCTATTTCAACAATATGTGATGTTTAAACTTTTCATTCCATCATTAATCGGCTGCTGTGACCACCTTCACTCTTGTTTGAAAGCTTTCCACCAGATTTTGGAACATGCAGGGATTTGCTCCAATTCAGCCACGAGGGCATCCATGAGTTTAAACATTGATGTAGGGTAATAAGGTCTGGCTCACTGTCGGTGTTCCAGTTCATCCCAAAAGTGTCACATGGGGTCGAGGTCAGGGCTCTGTCCAGGCCAGTGACGTTCCTCCAAAGCTAACTGCTATCTTTATGAATGAAGCTGTCTTTGTGCAGGTTGACACAGGAAAAGGGCCTCCTCTAATTTGCTGTCACAAAGTTCGAAGAACAGTATTGTCTGACCTATCACTGCATAAAGTAGCATTAAGGGTTCTCTTCAGTGGAACAAAGGGGCCCAGTCTAAACCATGAAAACCAGTCCCAGACCAAAAGTACCTTAAAAGAACGTCCACATAAGAATAAGAATAATACTGTATATTTTCATATGAAAACTGATTTTTAAATAAATAACGAAATAAGTGTGTGGCCAGCATTAAAAAGATGCCAGCAGTGGAATTACCTGATACTAGCTAACAAAGTAAATTCAGTATATATTACGATATTTAGTATATTTTCCTACAGCCCTTATTCCATTAGTTCAATGGAGTCATGTCATTTTCACCACCTGGATTACTATTATTAGATTGGATTATTTTTAGGTCACTATCAGTAAATCTTAATACCTCTTGCAGATGTGTCGCATTAAAAGCTCACCATGGATAATACCCTTTGAGTTGCTAGATGGCTTTTAATGTGAAACATCTGCACAAAATGTGCCCAATGTCAGTGGTGATAGCTTGAGAAAAAGTATAATACTTATAATACTGGGCTGTCCATGCAGTCGAAAGATGCATGCACATTTGAAATTGGAACTTCATGACCAGAGAAAACGGATGAAAAAGGCTGTGGCATTCTCTTTTATTTAAGAGGTGTAAAAACCTACAACTTCCAGAACACAGTGCACTGCTGGTGGGTGCTGTAATGAGTTACCTTTCCAAAAAACCCCGATATGGCAAGAATTTGGTCTTGCATTAAAGATTAACAATAACCTTGAATATGTTTCTGGAAACATTTTTCACAATACAGAAAACAGTATGGTGCCCACTTTGTGTTCATACTGTAAGTTCTCGTATTACAGCTGAACAGTGCACTAAATTATGTTTCTGGAGACATTTAGGTGATAAATAGGCAACGCAGTCACCAAATGTTGATTATATTTGATGAGCACTGCCCAGTTTTTATGGCTCCCCGCTGATGATAGCTGTAGCCACAGGCCTTATGAGTTTGGGTTGTCTGTCTGATCGTACGTCCATCCCATTCTGATGAACACAATATCTCAACAATGCCTCGGAGGAATTTCTTTGGCACAAACGTCCCCTTGGACTCAACAATGAATTGATTAGATTTTCTGGTCATAGGTCAAAGGTCAAGGTCATTATGACCTTGTCTGTCTCATTCCTGTAAATGCAATATTTCACGAACTGCTTGAGTAAGTTTTTTGTAAGGTTTTTGGCCAAAACTCAAGAATTCACGTATGGTGAGGATGTGTGTGAAGCATTCATGTTTTCACTGACATGGATGTAAACTTTAAGAAAAACTTGACTGGTGTGCAGAGGCATACAACCACGGGGCAATAATTCTAGTTCTCTTTTATCTGAGTTTGAGACAGATAGAAAGGGGAGCAGGTCCCTCCCTCAATCCAACTCTATACTCTTTGTGTCTACAGTGGCGGCAGGTGTGCGAAAATGAAGACGTACAATCTGTAGTTCAAGCAAAAGTTTTGGATCATCCGTTGGATTTTTTTGCAGGCAAATGAGCAGGGAGATCTGGGCGCTCGTGAGGAGGGAAGTTTTGTTGGGGTGATTGTTGTCATAATGATGAAATTAGTTTGTGGAAATGTATATAATACTGAATTTTATGAATCAGATAAACACGGAGGAAGTTTGCATTGAGTTTGCATGAACATCTATAGCATATTCAAACGGGAGCAGATCACTAAAAGAGAAGGCATGTATGACACATGCAGGGGAAATTAGAAAAGCTCTATGTCCTATGTAAACCTGTTTCAGACAGAGCCCTGGTCCCCATTCAGTACTTGAGAATTTGCAGTAATCATTAGAAAATATTTAATATCTGAAATCAAATACACTCTTATGTTAAGTCCCAGCTGAGCAGAAAACCTCACTGGTCAAACAGAGACATCTAGTGGTCAGTAGCAGCCAGTGCAGGGTTGGTCCCATTAGAATGAATGGGGCGTTAGAATGCATGTTTGTATTGTTAAATTCATAATAAAACATACAATGTTTATGTGTTTTCCTTCATATCTCCCACTGCCAGATATTTGAAGGCAGAGGAGGTTGGCTGCATTTTGCCTGAAGGAGACTATATATGAACTCTGGTGTTATTGGACCCTTTAGACAAAACGTGTGTGTGACACTCTGTGTGTGGAGAATCCAGCCATTCATACATAGACTTGTGTGAACTGGATTATGCGGTGTGTGTGTGTGTGTGTGTGTGTGTGTGTGTGTGTGTGTGTGTGTGTGTGTGTGTGTGTGTCTGGATGACTCAGTGTCTCACAGCAATATTAATAACACATCATGAATACAACTCACGCTCACATAACACACACACACACACACACACACACACTTTCTCTCTTTCTCTGGGTGTATTTGTAAGATAAGCTGAGCTGATGCATTCTCTTGTGTTTTCCCTTTAATTGTCATTGCTTCCTTCATTCTATATTCACACCAATCCTTCCTTCCATTTTCCTTCCTTTCCTGACCATCATTTTATTCATGCCCTTCTCGTCTCTCCTTTCCTCATGTCTCACTTTCCTTCACTTTATTGGTTTCTTTAATTCCTCCCTTACATTTTTTTCCTCCTCCATTCTTTGCTTTTATATTTCTTCCTCACTGCTTTCCCTCTCGATATACTTTCTTCTTCTGCCTTCACCTCTTAATCCTCTATCCTTATCTTTTCTCTCCTCCTTCCTTTCCTCTGCCCTTCCTTTGACTCCCCATTTTTCTCTTCCACATCCCTCCTTTTTGCATCTGACCCATCTCACACTCATTTTCCTCTTCCATCCCCCAATTGTAAATTTTTACCTCCCCTTTTTATTCTCTCCAACTAACCTTTCTCTCCCCTCTCTCCTTTCTCTGTACACTTCCCCCCTCCATCCCTCCTTTCTGTCTCTCCTTCCTGCCTCCATCCTCCTCCCAGTGTGCAGCAGCGCTCCCATCAACATGAAGGTGCAGCATGTCAACAGCAGCGCTCTGGTGGTGCGCTGGGCCCGCCCGGAGGTCACCTACCACCCGCCCATCCTCCACTTCCTGGTGTCCTACAGCTGGACGACCCATGATGACAGCTATGAGGAGACACACCTCACTGACGCCAAACACAAACTGGTGAGATTGGGAGGGGACTGGAACCAAACCTATAACATACAGTACGTCCCAGCACGTGGGACAGAGTGGGTTGGATGTGGATTTGAGTTGAGATGCTGCCCACATGCTGGACTGCAGTGACAACAGTAATAAGTGTATGAATATGTCTTGTTAAGTATTTGTGAGTTAACCTTATTGTTACATGGCAAAGCAGCTGAAAAGTGCAGGCTCGTTTGAAAAGGCCAACACTGACTTGTGTTGCATTCAGGTACTGAAAGGCTCAGATACAGTACAGGCCAAAAGTTTGGACACACCTTCTCATTCAATGCGTTTTCTTTATTTTCATGACTATTTACATTGTAGATTCTCACTGAAGGCATCAAAACTATGGATGAACACATGTGGAGTTATGTACTTAACAAAAAAAAGGTGAAATAACTGAAAACATGTTTTATATTCTAGTTTCTTCAAAATAGCCACCCTTTGCTCTGATTACTGCTTTGCACACTCTTGGCATTCTCTCCATGAGCTTCAAGAGGTAGTCACCTGAAATGGTTTTCCAACAGTCTTGAAGGAGTTCCCAGAGGTGTTTAGCACTTGTTGGCCCCTTTGCCTTCACTCTGCGGTCCAGCTCACCCCAAACCATCTCGATTGGGTTCAGGTCCGGTGACTGTGGAGGCCAGGTCATCTGCTGCAGCACTCCATCACTCTCCTTCTTGGTCAAATAGCCCTTACATAGCCTGGAGGTGTGTTTGGGGTCATTGTCCTGTTGAAAAATAAATGATCGTCCAACTAAACGCAAACCGGATGGGATGGCATGTCGCTGCAGGATGCTGTGGTAGCCATGCTGGTTCAGTGTGCCTTCAATTTTGAATAAATCCCCAACAGTGTCACCAGCAAAACACCCCCACACCATCACACCTCCTCCTCCATGCTTCACAGTGGGAACCAGGCATGTGGAATCCATCCGTTCACCTTTTCTGCGTCTCGCAAAGACACGGCGGTTGGAACCAAAGATCTCAAATTTGGACTCATCAGACCAAAGCACAGATTTCCACTGGTCTAATGTCCATTCCTTGTGTTTCTTGGCCCAAACAAATCTCTTCTGCTTGTTGCCTCTCCTTAGCAGCGGTTTCCTAGCAGCTATTTGACCATGAAGGCCTGATTCGCACAGTCTCCTCTTAACAGTTGTTCTAGAGATGGGTCTGCTGCTAGAACTCTGTGTGGCATTCATCTGGTCTCTGATCTGAGCTGCTGTTAACTTGCCATTTCTGAGGCTGGTGACTCGGATGAACTTATCCTCAGAAGCAGAGGTGACTCTTGGTCTTCCTTTCCTGGGTCGGTCCTCATGTGTGCCAATTTCGTTGTAGCGCTTGATGGTTTTTGCGACTCCACTTGGGGACACATTTAAAGTTTTTGCAATTTTCCAGACTGACTGACCTTCATTTCTTAAAGTAATGATGGCCACTCGTTTTTCTTTAGTTAGCTGATTGGTTCTTGCCATAATATGAATTTTAACAGTTGTCCAATAGGGCTGTCGGCTGTGTATTAACCTGACTTCTGCACAACACAACTGATGGTCCCAACCCCATTGATAAAGCAAGAAATTCCACTAATTAACCCTGATAAGGCACACCTGTGAAGTGGAAACCATTTCAGGTGACTACCTCTTGAAGCTCATGGAGAGAATGCCAAGAGTGTGCAAAGCAGTAATCAGAGCAAAGGGTGGCTATTTTGAAGAAACTAGAATATAAAACATGTTTTCAGTTATTTCACCTTTTTTTGTTAAGTACATAACTCCACATGTGTTCATTCATAGTTTTGATGCCTTCAGTGAGAATCTACAATGTAAATAGTCATGAAAATAAAGAAAACTCATTGAATGAGAAGGTGTGTCCAAACTTTTGGCCTGTACTGTATATGATGTATATGTAAAAGTTAACTGCTGAACAGTTTTGTGTCAGTGCACTCTGTTGTGGAAAATAACAGGAACACTGTGCATGTGATACACAGATTAAAATACTACTTATTACACCACATTACTATAGTAGCTGATTGATGAACAGTGACCTAAATGCGTCAGTACCTCATCCTGTCCCCCATAAAATGTTCACTGACAACATATTTTATTAATTGTCCAACAAAATCATTCAACACAGCTCAAGCCTCATGAATGTTTTATAGTTATATAAGGTCAGTGAAAGATAATGGTCTTTATTGTATTTTAAAAAATGGTGACTTGAAGTAGGAGACAGGGTGTGTTGCGTTATTAATTTTAATCAAAACCACCATCTTTGCCCACAGGAGCATTTCACCCACAAAATGACTATTTGTATATCTATAACCCACCCAGTATTACATTGAATTCGTACAGACAACATTGTTTCTGGTATGTAACGGATCAGTCTGACAAACGCCTGAGTGCTCATGAATCCCCAACTATTACCCACTCGCTGTTAATATAGGGTACTGTTCACACTGCCTGCTAGGGGAAATGAACAAGAGGCAATTGATTCGCACTCAAGTCCTGACCTCTACCAGCCAAGGCCAATGGTGTGTTTATGTGGTCCTTGGCTGGTTGTTCCTGGACATGGGCGCTACAAAGAAGATGTGTTTTCTTGTTCAGAGTGCTCAGGTAGCACATTGATAACAAAGAACAAATGAAATGGATCAGCTGAGCCATAAAATTGGATCAGAAACTCATTTTTTCAGATTATTCCAGTACCACATGAAAGCAGCACAACACTGCAGAGGTAAGTGAGAGTTCTTTGATTTGCCCCTCAAAGAATGACAGATTGTTGGTCGGTGATATTTCTCGAACATCGTATTGAGCTTACATAGCCTACCTACATACAGGTGGGATGCTAAATCAGTGTTTTGTAAAATGAATATTTGAACTTTATCAATGTAAACATATACATATACTGGTAAAGCATTGAAGTAATGTTTTGTGGGGTACTTTAGACACTAGCTGTCCAACATGCATGAACTATGGAGTGACACGGAGAAACTACACCGTATTTGCAAAAAGTATCAAAATACATTTTACAATACATTTTGATACATTTACAGGTATCAACTCATAGCAACCGAAAAGAATCCGTCTGCTCATCACTACTAAACACATGCATTTTTTGCTAAACCTTGCTATTTAAATCGTTTCCTCATAAACAGTCTCACGCACAGACAAATAGTGTGCCTGAGCAGGCGTGTATGTTTGTATTCAGCTCAATGGAACGCACGAGTAGATTTCAACTCATGTGTCTAGTCGCACTGCTTATGTGGAAGCGTTTTAAATAGTAAGGAAACTTAAGTTAATGATGGATGTTTTAAGGTTAACTGGATATTGCCCTAGAAATTAACACATTCTCACTCTGACCTCGCCACATATCGTCTTTTGGTCATGGACTTTCAACGTCGATATATGACATGCAAGGTACCCTAGGTGCGTTGGTTGATGACATTCTCGGATGCTGTGTCAACTGTTATATGCATTGTCTGTTTTCAAAATACACTTCTGTTTTCACAGGATATGTATAGTTTGCATACAGACATTGGTACAACACCACAAATTAATGTTTTTTTCCTTAAACAACCAATGCACATGATAAGGTTTAGCCAACACACGCACATGGTTGGGTTTGGGATAGACTCACAAGTCAGTCTGTAGACGCTTTGCTTAACTAAAGACTGATGACTTTCTCCCTGATTTTGTGTTTAGATGGGCGGATACAATTTCAGAGTTTAAAAAAACTCCCTACTTTGCAGAACCAATAGTAAATCTGCAGGGCGGTCCTTCGGTGGCTCGCTGAACTCTTGTGCTCTTAAACATAGTCTTACTAGAAACATGTGTAGCGGTACAAAATGGCTCAAGTCACTGTAAGTCCTTCATTTTCACAAACTTGTGGACTGAGCACACGTTTGATAAAACGGAGTTTAATCTCTCGGCATCCATTTTCAAGCTCTCTGTGTGTTTGTGTCCTTGCAGATGAGAAAAGGAGGAGTGCACATTTCCGGGAGGGCATGTCCTTTTCAAAAACGCAAGAGGTGTTGCTTTGTTGCCGGCCGTTTTCGCCGGTGTGTTAATCACACTTTAGAAAGGAGTGTCCCCAGACTATCAGAAGGCGGAGATCTCTGATTGTCTGGGGGTGAGACTAGGTTTGGGAAAGAAGTCATACAGGAAGTGAACACAAAAAGTTCACTGATGCTCCCGCCCACCCGACTTGGACTTTTTGCCCCCTTAACTTATGTTGTTATACCGCTGTTACACAATAACAGTTAATGGCCACTATCATACCGACATGGAAGGGCCGCGTTTTTTGTTGGTGTCTCATGCTGAAAGTCACTGCCCAAGCACCGATATTCAATGACTTCTGAGTGAGACTAGGTTGTAGAAATGAGTCAGGTTTATCCAGAAGTATTTTGTGATGGAATAGAGTATTTTAAAATATGTATTTGTTTTATTTTGTATATTTACTATATATGGTGAGCTATAACATTGGTCTGGTGAATACAGCATGCTGTCCTGGTGCAACATCTGTAATTAGAGGCCTAAACCAATACATGGGACCCTGCTGTTCAGCCATATTCCTTGACTTCCTCCCCATAGTTTATGTGCAGATAAGATCATGATTCTTAAATGATAAAAACAAAATCATTACCAGACTTCAAACCAAGGCAACAATTTAAAAAAAGAGAAAAAAAAGAGTATTTGTGAATAATGATAGTTTTCACATAGAAATGCAGAGCCTGAATCCCTTTCGGCCAAGCAAAGATGCCAATAAGCCAAATATGTCTGTATCCACAGCAATCCAATAACCCAGATTCATAAAACTTTATCTTTGCTATAAAACAGTGCAATCCAATAAGTGTCTGCATTAACATTAGTAAAATATATCAATATATATGGAGAGACAATAACATGCCAATCAAAAGAAGTGCTTAAGTATGTCAAAAAGAAAAAACAATGCATTTAAAAGCACATGCACACTCATGACATTTCCAGTATAACAGTGTTCTGT